GATTCTGGTCAAGGGCATGTACCTTGGTTGCGGGCACATCCCCAGTGGGGGGTGTGCAGGAGGCAGCTGATCGATGTTTCTAACTCTCTATCCCTCTCTCTTCTTCTCTGTGAAAAATCAATAAAATATATATTTTTAAAAAGTGGGCAAGAAAGTAATAGTAAATGCCACCTTTACGATCCCAGTACCTGTGTTTCACATGAGCAAAGTCTGAGGTTTAAGAGCCCAGTGACCTCAGGGGTGGAGAGGTACACTCAGGGGCCCAGAGTATGTCCTCCGGTCCCACCCCTTCCCCGTTTCCCCATCAGGCCAAGAGGCGCCAAGTGTCCTGGACTTGACCGGCTCCTCTCCAGGGCTCAGTGGCCCCAACTCCAGAGGGACCCACATAAATGTGGTGGCTCACGGGGGGACAGCCCCTCCCGCAGAGAATACCTGCTGTGCCCACCTGTAGCTGCGACCAGAGCTCTCGTGCCTCTCGATCAGCATAGTCCTTCTCAATGAGGTCCAGCTGCGCTTGGAGCCGGTGCCGGGTGAAGAAGGTCGACCAGTCGTCCTGCCACTCATTCACCTGGGCAGCAAAGGAAAGGAGGCGGATGCTGCAGGTGGTGGTCACAGGGCAGTTATACACGTGATTTGCCTAAACCTTAGATCAGCCACTAAAAGAACACGGCCTCAGAGGGTGGGTGGGAGGTAATCAACCAAGGACCTTGTATGCATATATGCATGACCCAGGGACACAGAGAGGGTCATGGGGGAAAGAGGGGGTTAGAGGTAATACTTTCAACAATAAAGAAATACTTTTTAAAAAAAGAGATGCAAAGAGCTATTTGCCACCAAATAATCCTATATAATAAAAGGGTAATATCCAAATAGACTGAATGGCAGAACAACTAAACAACCAATCAAAGCGTAATATGCTAATGATATGCTAAGGCTGTTAAACTGCTCCCTATGACGTGCACTGACCATCAGGGGGCAGACAGTCGACCAGTCAACCAGTCGCTGTGACATGCACTGACCACCAAGGGGCAGATGCTCTGACCAGTAGGTTAGCTTACTGCTGGGGTCTGGCCGATCGGGACTGAGCAAGATGGGCTGGACACACCCTTGGAGCCCTCCTGCAGTCCCTCCCCACCCCAATCGTACACCAGTGGGGTCCCTCAGCCTGGCCTGTGCCCTCTGGCAACTGGGACCCCTCAGGGGATGTTGGAAAGCTGGTTTCAGCACGATCCTGCAGGCCACTCCTCATGGCTGGTGAGCGCTGGGCACGAGCCTGCGGCAGGCACAGTGGGGCCAGGATGAGTGGGAGCAGCAGGTAGGAGCTGCAGGCAGCATTGGACTGCGGGTTTCGGCCCGACCCCTACAGGCCACCCAGAGGGACCCCACCCATGCACGAATTTGTGCACCGGGCCTCTAGTAATAATAATAATAAAATTGAATGCAACATGTTCATAATTTCATATGTATTATTTATGATATTATATTACTTTCTTAAAGTAAAATAAATAAAATTAAGAAATTAAAACAAATAAATCCTATATAACAAAAGCCTAATATGCAAATGGTCCCCCTGACCAGGAGTTTGACCAGGGCCAGGGCTGGCGGTGGTGGCAGGTGGCCGGGGGAAGGGAGTGCCCTGGCCGGCAGCCAGCAGCTGCTAGGGACCCTACCCATGCACGAATTTCATGCACTGGGCCTCTAGTAAGTAAATAAAAGAACACAGCAATCTGGAAACAGGCCAAGTGCCCATCAATAGATGAGTGGATTTAAAAAAGCTGTAGTGCATTTGCACCATGGAATACTGTGCAGCAGGAAAAAGGATCTCTTATCCTTTGAGACAGCATGGAGGGACCTGGAGAGTATCATGCTAAGTGAAATAAGTCCCAGGGCCTTCTTGTCCTCGCACAAGGAGGTGGGCCAGGTTGTCCTCCCATCCCCCTTTCCTGGCCGGGCTGCAGCTGACCTAAGTTGGCTTGTTGATCCTGTAGTTTGAAGGAGCATTCAAGGGCTACCTGTGCCCCTCACAGACCATCCCTCCTCATCTACTTCAGACCTTAGGGTTCTTGAAAAGCCACTGTATGAGGTCAACCAAGTCTTTGGAGACCCCAAAGCTCTTAAACTCAACATCTGAAGCAGGACAAGCCACACTCAGCCACGCCTGTCGGGACCACTATGACTGTGCTGGCTCCATTCAGCCTGTGCCCTCCTGAAATATGGCCTTCACACCTGCTGTTCCCTCTGCTTAGTGTGCTCTTCCACCTGCCCCACGGCTTCCCACCACCGAGCTCAATGCCCTCACCCCAGGTATCACAGCTCACCCTTTGCTTTTAGGGATCAGGTGGTCAATCTCCCTGGTGCGCTGGGACTGGCACACTGTCACATACAAGGGAAGAGGTGCCCAACATGAGGGTGTAGGGAACAGCCCACAGCTAAGCAAGCACTTGCATCCTAACCCTGGCACTCACCTGCGGGATGAAGCCACAGCACGTCACCGTGTGGAAGCCGAACTTGGTCACATGCTGGGGCTCAGCATCCTCGGCCCTCCGGCCTATCAACAGGAAGAGATGTGGTCTTTCCTCTAAATGCCAGACCCCACAGAGAGTCAGGACAGGCCTGGCTGCACTGCTGGAAGGTGGGTGATAGGAGAATGGACCACTCCCACTAGCAATTAGGTAGCACGTGAGTCAGCCAGGACACAGCCTCAGCACACCAGACAGCAGGGCTGGGTATAAAAGAGGTCAGGAGCCAATTCTACTTGCTTATCAACGCCATCAAATTCCTACTTAACAATCTCATTTTCACACTGAGTGTAGAGGGAGATCCTCTACAGGCGTGCAATCCAACCTGTTACGTAAATGTCACCCTGGCCTGGTGGGTCAAGGGCGCACGAAGGCAATCTGAACGCACCCACTGTGTTCGCCTCCTCCCTCAACTTGTCCCCGAGCTTCTGGTTGTAAAGGTGCAAATCTGCCACCTGTTCTCCAAGTCTCCAAGCCTGACTGCGGAGAGAAGAAATGCAGCCATTAAAGTAAGAAATAGCAACAATCTGCCAGCACGCTCTGTTTTAGGAATATTTTAATACCTAAAAACTACTCTCCATGCCATGACAAGTGAAAACAAATGGCAGGCAGCGACCCTTTCCAGAAAACAGTGTAAAATCACCAAGAGTGGGGAAGCAGGTAGGCACCCACAGAAGCTTCAGAAAGTACTGAAAATTACAAGACAAATGTTCAAAAGGTAACGTTAAGTTAAAAACCATCTCCCAGGGGACTCTTTCCCCCTCCCCATGTGGGAGTCTGTGCTTGTTCTTCAGTAAATTTCCACTTTTGCTATAAAAACAAACAAATGGACAAAAAAACCATCTCCCCGTTTTGGTGGGGTTTTTTAAATATATTTTTTTATTGATTTCAGAGATAGAGGGAGAGGGAGAAACATCAATGATGACAGAGAATCTTTGCTTGGCTGCCTCCTGCACGCCCCCTACTGGAGATTGAGCCCACAACCCAGGCCTGTGCCCTGACCAGGAATCGGACCGGGAATCAAACCATGGTTCATAGGTTGACGCTCAACCACTGAGCCAGACCACCAGGCTCATCATTGATGTTTCTCTCTCTCTCTCCCTCTCCCTTCCTCTCTGAAATCAATAAAATACCAGAAGAAAAAGAATGACAGGTGGGAACCCTGCCCCTGGTAACTCCACCAAGTTATGTGGTCAGCTCAGCAAGAGGCTGCTCTCTCTCACACACACACACACACACACACACTCTCTCTCTCTCTCTCTCTCTCTCTCACACACACACACACACACACTCTCTCTCTCTCTCTCTCTCTCTCTCTCTCTCTCTCTTACCTGTTCAAGCTCCTCATCTTCAGATGCTCCATCACGAAGGCTGCCCCACCCCCGGGCAGGTCGATACCTTGATGGGCCGAGGGGCCCGCACCGTGCCCGTGCTCCGGAGGGCCTCCAGGCTTGCCACCTCCCCCTCAAACATCTGCCGGGCCTGTGTCCAGAACACCACCATGAGCTCCCACTCCAGCAGGGGCCTCAGCAGCCAGGCTGTGGCTCACAACCTTCCACAGACGCCACCACACGGGGTCATAAGCACCCAGGACCGCTAGTTACTGAAAATGGGGTTCCTGTGGGTGGGGCTTATCATTCTGAGGCATTTGGGTTCTGAAATCAGACTCCTCAGCAGTTCTGGGTGCCCACAGAGCAGGGGTGCTGGGTCAGACCCCACCCCTTGTCCACCCAGCCATGGACAGTGCTGCAGGGTGTCCGAAGGGGTCTCTCTGGCAGCACCCCACCACTGCTGGGTACATGCATGTGGCTAACTCTCTCCACTTGGTTTTTGTTTTGAAATTGATTTCAAAGAGGAAGGGAGAGGGAGAGAGAAAGAAACATCAATGATGAGAGAGAATCATTGATCAACTGCCTCCTGCACGCCCCACTGGGGATGGAGTCCAAAAACCAGTCATGTGCCCTGACGGAGAATTGGACCGTGACCTTCTGGTTCATAGGTCGACGCTCAACCACTGAGCCACACTGGCCGGGCTAACTCTCCGCTTGTCAAGTGTTGTATTATCCGTGTGTGTTTAACAGATATAGGGTAAGCAGGAGATGAAAACCAGATCCAAACACAAGCAGGGTCTGTGAGTAGAGGGGCCTGGAGTCTGGCCCTTGCGGTGCCTGGGAGTCCTGGCTACCTTCCTGCCTCTTCACACCTGGTAAAGAGGACGGGACCTTGGGGAAACCTGAGCTCAGAGCTGGGGCAGGAGAGTGGCAGGAGCAGCCCAGGTCTCCGAGCCTCGCCTCCCCCATGCTTGGTGGGTGGAGACATTAAACCAAACAACAGAAAACTCACGCACGGGGGTCAAAGGACCAGAATTAATCCGGCAGCGGGTAAAATCCTGCAGGGGATCCCGCAGAACATGCTGGAGCCCTGTGGCCTGCAGGTGTCCGGTTCAAGGCCACAGGCTGACACGGGGGCAGTGGCGCCAGGCCTGACGCACGAAAGGCCACTCGTGCCCGCGCCCCTTGCCCCGCGTCCCCTTCCGCGCGCCCCATCCCCTTTATCCGCCCCCTCTCCCCTTTCCACGCTCTCTCCGTCCCCCGCCTTTACCACCCTCTCCCCCTCTCCAGTCCCCGCACCTGAGCCCTGCGGTTGACCTTGACAAACACAGGCCCCGCGTCAGTGTCGTAGGAGTGCCCCTCGCTGATGCAGCCCCCGCCAGAGCGCCCCAGGGCGCGCAGGGTCGCGGTGCGCAGCTCCGAGCGCAGCAGCTGCTCCATGGGGGCGGGGACACTCGGAACACGGGCACCAGGGGGAGCCAGGGGGACGCAAAGAGGGACCCAGGATGGTGCCGACTGCCCAGCCAGGGACGCGGGCTCGCCACTGCCCAGGCCGCTGTGCACGGGAAGGCGACTGGTCCGCGGGGGCAGCGGGCTCTGAACGCCAGAGCTCCCGCCTCCCAGGCTCCGCCTCCCGGGAGGGGTGAGGAGGGAGGAGGGAGGGGGGGAGGGAAGGAGAGGGAGAAAGGGGGGAAGGGAAAAAGGGAGGGGGGAGGGTAGAGAGAGGACGTATCCCAAGGGGGGACAGAGCTGGGCGGCGCTCTCCCCATGCATCTGCAGAGTTAGTGTGTCTGGACAGTCCAGGTTGGGGTTCACCCACTGGGGGCACTCGCAGGGCCCTAGAGGTAGGGCCTGACCTCCCTGCACAGAGGTCCCAGGAGCCCTCCCAGGACTGGAACCCCTCCCACTCAGCAGGGTACCAGACACAGCCCTGGAGTGGCCCAGTCAGTGGCCTGGCTAGGTCTCCCACTGACCAGACAAGACTGGGGATCTCAACCACGTCCTGCCAGGCCCCGGCACTGCCCAGTGGCCCCACAGCTGGCCTTGCCTTTGCTCATCAGGGCACCTGGTGCCCATCAGCAATAGATAGAGGCAGCTCTGGAGCTTCTGATACCAGGCAAGGCTGCTGACCCCACCCACGTGGGACTCCTGATTACAGAGACCACAGCGATGGGGAGGAACTTTATTTAACTATTTTTTAAAATATTTTTATTGATTTCAGAGAGGAAGGGAGAGGGAGAGATAGAAACATCAATGATGAGAGAGAATCATCAATTAGCTGCCTCCTGAACACCCCACACTAAGGATCGAGCATGAAACACGGGCGTGTGCCTTGACTGAGAATTGAACTGTGACCTCCTGGTTCATAGGTCAACACTAAACCACTGAGCCACACCAGCTGGACTTTATTTTCTTTATTCACCGTTTGACTGTCCATACCTTATACCACAGTGCAACATAGGCATTACACTAAGTTATTATGACAAATTTTTAAAAAATATATATTTTTATTGATTTCAGAGAGGAAGGGAGAGGGAGAGAGAGAAACATCAGCTCAGTTAAGCGCCACCTGCCTCTGCCTCTCGCCCTCCCTCTCCTGGGCTGCACTCTCACCTGCGGCCTCCCTCCCAGGTGCGGCTGTGGGTGTCTCCCTGTGAACAGCTGGGGAGAGCTAGGGCCCAGCTCTCATGGCTGGCAACGCAGTGGTCCTAGGCGTGAGGTCCAGGGCCCAGGGGGCTGCTGGGGGCACAGCACCCAAGAGGATTCTCTCGGGAGGGGGTCTGGGCCATCCTCCTGGTCTGAGAGCCCAGCGGTCTGTCACTTTCTCGGGTGACCAGGAACCAGGGGAGGCTGCCTCCCCTACCTCAGAGGGGCCTGTGAGTGACCCCACTCCCCCAGCACCGGGAGCCAGAAGGCGTCCCTTCCTCTACCATGGGCTCCAATCGATGTGTTTCTGTCTTTCCTTCTCTCTTCCACTCTCTTTAAAAATCAATGAAAAATATCCTCAGGTGAAGATTTAAAAAATAAATGATAAAAATTTTTAGAAAAACAGTACAGCAGCACACGTGCCATCGTCAGAAGCTGGCTCCGCACCCTTTCCCTCGGAGACAGTTTCCCCAGGACCAGGAAAAATAAGCTAAAATCTCAGCACATAGCAGTCTAGGAATTACTAGTTTTGACCATTCGACAACCACAAGCTCTTAAAGTCACAGTCCTCTCTCCCTCCCCACAGAAACCAGAACTCTGAAAGCGTCGTTCTGCTCCCGAATTACACAGAGGGGCCCCTGTGCATAGAAGCACAAAGCAGAGGAGGAAAAATGAATCTATCCTCCCCACCAGCCTCCGGGAGACCACCGGTGTCCTAACACTGGAGCTCCCAGCCCCATCCCAGACCTAGTCGGTGGCCACAAATGGGCTTCTTCCTTAAAATGCAATCGACAGTTGCTCTCACCATCCCTTCGATGTTCACAAATCTCGCAGGATGACTAGGAACAGCAGTTAAATTGCATCTGAGTCAAATATTAGAAAGTCCTCAGGCTACACCTGCCCTTAGTCTGAAGCTCTTCTCTTATTTAACAAAGTCAAAGAAAAAATTTGCTCTTTAAGAAACAATTTATTAGAGTAACACATTACAAAGGCTTCTTGGCAAATATCTAGGAAAAACACTGAATTATGGTTTAAATGAGGGAAATGGTGCCTTGCATCATAGAAACCACTGAAAAGTTTGCACAAAAGCATGTTAACATCAATGCCATTCATGACCGTTCCTCACCCCTGCAAGAGAAGGGGGGAAACACTGGCTTAGTGCGAGCAAACCTGAAGCAAAGGAAGGACACTCGGCAAGCTGAGAGAGCGGCAGGCAAAGGGGGGTGAAGTCGATTCAGTGGCTCCTGAATCTACTGAGGACACCCCGGAAGCTGGCAGTTTGGCCATTCCCCAAATCATCTCCAGACCTGCTCAGCCTGCGGAGCAGGAAGCAAAGGGAATGTGCTCAGTCTGGGGAATGGTCACTGTAAGATGTCCCTAGTGAGACGGCTTCGTGCCTAGACCACACTCAGCCATCGAGTAGCGTCATCCTGGAGGCGAGACGGGAGGGGATGGTGGAAGGTGCCCGCGGCAGCAGTGCATGGCGCACCGGCCACTTCCCTTCTCTACCTTTGGGGCAGTTGTTTGGTTTGACATGGCCCCACACTGCGAGGTCCCTCTGTTCACATTACTAGTATGGTTTATCCAACTACGAAGTCTAACGAAATGTACAGCTTTAGGATGACAACACCTCTCTTCTGAGACATTACATACTTTCCAAGGCTTGGAAAGTTGGTCTGAAGCCTCTCCAGGTGTGTGAAATGGGACAGAACCCCTGAAGAAGAGGACTGTGGGGGAACCAGAGGGTTAGGATCTGGTACATCTGAACCTAAGGCTCCGGCAGGCTCCTCGCACAGGCCTCCCCCCGGAGCGGAGCAAGCTCACTAGATGAGGTTCCTCATGATGTTGAGGGAGGACCCTCTATACCCTGATCCGAAATGATTCCAGTGGTTCAAATAGTGGAAGAGCTGATACAACTTCAGGCGCTTCTCAAATCCGGGGGCCTTGGGGATCTTGTTGTGGTAGGCAGAGTAGAAGGTGCTACTAAAGCCCCCAAACATGCCGGCTATTGCCAGCTCATATTCCGAGTGGCCATAGAAGGAGGCGGGGTCAAAGATGATGGGCCCAGAGGAATCCTCTGCTACGTTTCCTCCCCAGAGGTCTCCGTGGAGCAGGGCTGGGACGATGTCCAGATCAAGGAACAGATCAGGGATCTTCAACTGCGAGGAGGAAAGGCAGCCTCAGTGAAACGAGCGACGCATGTGGGAGGGGTGCACGCTTTCCCACGTGTGGCTGTGTGTGGCCGTGCATGGCTCAGGCAGGGTGCAGAGACACCTACCGCCATCTGATTGGCCGGGCCCACCCACACATCTCAGTGCTGTACCTGACTTGCCACCTCTCCCTGGTGGGGCTGCAGGGCATGGTGGGCACAGGGCGCAGCGGGGCTCTCTCACCTGCAGAGCAGACCAGAGCTCGAGGGCATCTCTGTCCCCAGACCCCTTCGCCAGCATGTCCATCTGGGGCTGGATGCGCTGCTGGGCATAGAATGTGACCCAGTCCTTCTGCCAGTCATTCACCTGCACAAGCGACAGCAAAGGAGAAAGCCGAGCTCAGAGGCACATGCCAGGGCTGAAGGAGGTACCCCAAAGTGGGAAAGACTGATTGCTTGAGACCCCGCTGCAGGGATGGGGGTAGAGGGTGGGGGGTGGGAGCTGATGGGACCCCCGGGGCCTTGTGGACAGGTGGGAGCTTAGAGCCTATCCCAGGAGCAGTGGGAAGCAAGGGGCCATTCCCATGCAGAGCAACAGGGTCCCCTCTGATGAGCTCTGGGATGTTTTCTTTCTTTTTTTAAACTTATCTTTATTGTTGAAAGTATTACAAATGTCCCTTTTTCCCCCATTGACACCCTCCACTCCGTTCCGCCCCCTCCCCAGGCCTTCACCGCACTATTGTCTGTGTCCGTGGGCTATTCGTACATGCATACATGTTCTTTGGTTAATCTCTTCCTGCCTTGGGATGTTTTCTTTCGATCTATACTCACACAGGAGCACAGAGGCCAGAGCTGGCTGGCCTTCTCTGACCCTGTGGCTCACTTCTGTCCATCCACCTGGCCATAGAGGACCCCTCTTCGGCCCCTCCCAAGCAGCTGGCACTGCCCTCTCAAGAGTGGTAACATGGGAAGTCACGTGGAACCCTGTTCAAAAAGACCGCTGAGAGAGGACATCCAGGCCACAGGTGCTGACCATGGGGGTGGGGCGGGGGGGAGCAAGACAGACGTACACAAGAGCAGGCAGCCCAGGGGCAGTATGTGACGCTAAATGACAGAGTATCACGCTCACAAAGTGCACTCACTCACACTCATACACATACTCTCACACATGTGCACCCTGACACATGTGCACACAACCAGCCAGCAAGGTACAGGTGGGAGAGAGAGGAGCAGAGCCAGCTGAGACACCCCAGAGCAGCATGGAACAGGAGGCGCAGCTGTCAGCCACCTGCCACCCCATGCAAGTTCCTGGACAACCTCCAAAACATTTCAGAATCAGAATAGTGTCTACTGCACCCCCGTGCCCACCACAAAATCCCTGAAAGTTTTCTACAGCAGATCCCTTCCAAGGAGCCACCTGCCTTTTGCTGAGAGCACATCCACCACCCTAACCACTCTCCGTTTGTGAGGCGTCAAGGAGAATTCCCAGGGGAGCCAACCGTAAAATCATAAAACTGAAAGTTACCATCCCTTTTCATTAAGCTACCTTTGAGAGCTTACTATTTAAAATAAAACATTTAAAAGTTTTCTAATTTTTACCCACCTTGAAATCCAGCATCCTAACTTGCTGGCCTTCTCTGTTTCTCTGAGCTTACACAGCCCATGAGAGGTAAAGCTCATGTCAACCTCTTAAAAATTAGCACAGAAAGAAAGGGAGCACAGACTTACTAAACGTCACCAAAAAGGGAGAGGTGTGCTTCCCCAGCTGTTTCTGAACAGCTTTCCCACTTGGGAGACAGGAAAATGCAGGCGTCACTCACCTGGGGGAGATATCCACAGCACGTCACCACGTCAAACCCAAACTGGTCTACGAAGGGCCGTTCCTCCTGCCCACCTCCTCTCCCTTGGAAGCAAAACAAAAACAGGACTGACGACTAGTTGCCTTGCTCCCTCGGCCCTCACCTTGGAGCTCAGCGTAGCTGGAGACCTGAGGTCAGCGTGCCTTCTCCTCCTGAGTCCCATCCAGAGACAATCAGGGCCTGGTCTCCACCGACCCTCAGGACCCAGAACCAGAGCCTGTTCCGTCACACTTCACAGGCAGGCCACCCACTGCTTTCTAGGAGAGACACCAGGCGGTGCCCAGAGGACGCCCAGACAGAGTGGCTCACAGCTGCCATTTGTGCAGACAAACTGCGTTCACCGTGCTCACCACATGCATCGTGGGGTGGACATTCCTTTCCTTTGGCATCAGCGCAGGTCTGACCCTCACTCATGTGGCTGTGGCATAACCCCACCTAGACACCCATCAGAGCCCAGTGTCCTCCTCCAGGTGGGGTCCCCTTGGCCCACAAGATGTCATACCCACTCTGCTGGCCTCCTTCTGCAGCGTCTCTCCACGCCTTTTATTCTCTAGGTGCAGATCTGCTAGCTGGGCTCCAAGCTTGGCAGCATGACTGTGAAACCAAAAGGCAGCAACTGAACGCGTGACACAAAAGAGAATATTACATCCACCTGAAAGGGCTCAGGCCACACAAAGGAAGTCACACATTTTGAGGATAAATGTCTGTTTTGGTGAAGCCAGAGGGAGACGATGGGCCCTCATTAGTGGACGGTCTCTCGCAGCCAAGTCCTCTGTGAGCATCTCACCCGGAGAGCCCCTTCCTGTTGCCTTTGGCTTGCAGGGCGCTCATTATGTGTGGGTGGTGGGTCCCTTGTATCACAGCCACAAAGTTATACCCCAAGCGCAAGCTTCGGGTATGGAGGAACCACTCAGAAGAAAACCAAAGCCAACCAGAGGGGAAGGTGCCAAGACGTACCTGCTCAGATACCGCATGTCCAGATGCTCCATCACGAGCATACTGCTGCCTCCCGGGGCATCCAGGACCTTGATGGGTTTGGGCACTTTCACTGTGTCTGTTTTCAGGATGGCAGTTAAACTGGCCATCTCACCTTCAAACATTCTCCTAGCCTGTCAGGAAAATTAATGGCAGAGGGGAGGAGAGCGAGCGAGATCACTTCTGGAAAGGCTCCAGGTAGACAAGTTTCTCAGGCATTACAATTCTAAACCAAGGCTACCCTGACTGCAGAGTCAACAGACAGTTTTTTTGGCTTTTCCGTAGAGCAGATAATCGTCCTGAAGCTGCACAGGAGTAGATGGTACTTTGCAGCGTTGGACTATATTGTGATGCTATCGTTGAGTCCAAACCCCCTTCAGATGGGGCGAAGTCAGCTACTAATATTCCACTAAGTGCCTGTGCAGGGTTGGACTGTGTACGTGGGTCACCCTCTGTAGTACCTCAAACAGTCCTGTCCCACAGCAACCACAGAACCAGCTCACACTGGCCTTACCCTAGTTCTAACAAGATACCGACTTGTTTTCCAGGGACTGCAGAACAAAACTGCATGTCATGCTCAAGTACGCTCAAAGGAGAGAATTTTGACTTTCAGTAATACCCAGAACCAAAGTGTGCCCTGCCCACCCCGCCCCGTCCCCCCCCCGCCCCCCCCTCGGCCGCCACGGAACCAAAGACCTGGGACTTGACTGGAACTCGGTCACTGGTCCACTATCCAGGACCCAGCGCTGAAGCCTTCCATTGAAACCTGCCCTGCAGCACTTCCGCAGCCCAGCCCGTCCTTCCCTAACCCCTTAAATTTCACCCAAACCCACAACTGGGGAGACAGATTTGAGCCTGTCTCATTGCCGGTTGACTGCAATAAAGCCTTTTCTTTTATCAAAAGCCAATGTCATAGCATTGGCTTCTGTGCACATCGGGCAGCAAGTCCTTGCTTAGTAACAACACCTGACCCCGCAGGTGCAGGTGGCCTCTGGTCTGCATATGCCAGGAGCCTGTGGTCACTTTTCACCTGCATGGACCACCAAGCTCTAGGGCATCTCCTACCTAGCACTGGAAACTATCATCTTGCACACCTTTTCCATCCTAGTCCAAAAGTCCTTGTTCCCCCTGGACTGCAGCGGCCACCTCCCCCGGTCTCCCTGCTCACCAAACTGAAGCCATCCTTCTGGAAGGCAAATCCACCCTGAGCCACCACCCCTGCCCAGATCCTGCATGTCCCACAGGATGACCCTGCCCACTCTCCCATCTCATCCAGGGCCCCTACCTGGGCTCCGCTCCTCACACTGACATGCACACACCCCTTGTGCTCCTTCCTTTACTGTCTTAAAGATCGCCTGCCTCCTCCAGCCTGGAAGCCTCCACACACTGTCACCTCTGCTTGGAACCCTAACCCCCACCCTTGGCCAAGTCAGCTCCCTCCTCGTTGGGTGCTCATCCAGTCGACTGCTGATGGACAGCGGGGCTTCCAGTTCGGGGCTATTACAAACAGTGCTGCATGGACATTCTTCTACACGTTCTCATAGTTACTAGTTCTGTGACCTTGGGCAAGTGGCTTAAGCTCTCTGTGCCTCAGTTTCCTCATCCGTAAAATGGGGTTAATAATAGTACCAATATCATGGGCTTGCTGCCATGATTAACTAAGTTAGCAGCTAACACATAATCCATGCTAAACACTTTATAAATATCATTATTATACTGCCATCAAGAGCTACAGCCACTGAGGAGAACGGTAAGAGCAGTGTCTTGCCCTGACCGGGTAGCTCAGTTGGTTAGAGTGACATCCCTATATGCCAAGGCTGTGGGCTCGAACCCCTGGTCAGGGCACAAACAAGAATCATTCAATGGCCCTGACCGGTTTGGCTCAGTGGGTAGAGCGTCGGCCTGCGGACTCAATGGTCCTGGGTTCGATTCTGATCAAGGGGCATGTACCTGGGTTGCGGGCACATCCCCAGTGGGGAGTGTGCAGGAGGCAGCTGATCCAGGAGGAGCTGATCGATGTTTCTAACTCTCTATCCCTCTCCCTTCTATCTCTCTCCCTTCCTCTCTGTAAAAAATCAATAAAATATATTTTTAAAAAACCAAAATAATAGAATCAAATTATACTCATTAGATCCCACTTTTAGTAGCAGAAACACTCAGTATGTGCAACATAAAAACAATTCTTACCACTTACTCAGCACCTGTCATTTGCCAGGCACTGTGCTAGGTACTTTACAATCATGATGTCAAATTCTGAAAACCATTCTTGGGTAGATGGTTAAAGCTGTTTTTTGAAACAGAAGAAAATGAAGCTCATTAAAGTTTAATGACTC